AGGACTGATTGTGAGGGCTGGAAATGTAAAGGTAGACGTTTTGTAGCAAGGAGGGGAGTGATAAGCTTTGCAGTCTAGGAGTGGAGGTCCCTGGGACCATCAATGGAGAAAAGTGGAAAGGGCCCCTACCCAGAGAAGCAACGACGCCAGAAGTGGAGGCAGAGACAGTGACGTGGAGAGATGGAGCAGCTGGGGTCTTTAGACCCAGAGAGGGAGAGGGGCTGCGTGCTGACAACCGGGGGCGAGGGGAGGTAGGCTTGCAGGGTATATTGTTTGGTTGGTTGATGATACATGGAGCGGATTGTAACCATGGCAATGAAACGATATACGATAGGATGAATGTAAAGCTAATGTTCTCCCATGTAAACTGTGACATAATTCACAATAAAACATTAAAAAAAAAGAAACACTAACACTAGAACAGTATGCACATCTTAGAATAAGTAACCATTTGAGATCAAAATGGCAGCATTTACCCAAGGACAAAGTTCAGAAGCATTAAGAAAGAAGGAAGAATGGACCTAGGAACCCCAAGGAAGAAGTGTTGATAAGAAATGTTACATTGTGGGGATTACAGTCAGTGACAAGAAGCAAAATGTATATGAATTGTTGAATGGAAAACAACTGATCTGCTCTTTAAACCTTCACCTAATTCACAACAAAAAGTTAAAAAAAAAAAAAAAAACAAACCATTGCTGTTCAGAAAAAAAAAAAAAAAAGGAAAAGTTTTCTTGTTAGAAAGCATTCTATGATGATTACCAGGGGTGGGAGGGAAGGGAAAATTATTCACTGGGTAGAGTGACACATGTTGGTTTGGGTGATGAAGAAGGCAATATACAACAAGAGGGAAGTTGACACCGGAAGGATGGAGGCAGTGGAAGACACAGAAGTGAAAGATTTAAAGTGAATAGAGGTAAACACTGACTGATTATATGGAAGGGATTGCAGTCATTCTAATAACACGGAGTATATGATTTTTGTGGAACTGATAAGCTGTTCTGTAAACCTTCACTCAATTCATGATAAAAAGTTTTTTTTGTTTTTTCAAAAAAGTTCATGAGTGGCCATCTCAGGTGCAACTATTGGTGTCTCCTTGTCTGAAGAGGAGAAGAGTGCTGAAAATTGAAGATTCTTGAAAATAATTAAGTCTAGTGGTCTGATGGACCATAATAACGTTAGTTTCCCTGACCCCAAGACCAGAAAAACTAGATGTGCCCAGCTTCCCCTACCATCTGCTGTGACTTACTGTATAAAGAAAACAAGTAGCAAATTGTATACATTTAAAATTGAGAATATCTGTTTATCAAAAGATGTCATTTAGGGAATGAAAACATGAATTGCAAAGTAAGTTTTTACTGCCCAGTTTTGAGCAATAGAAGGAAAACTGAAAAACATATGCAGTGTGATTCCATTTCTGTAGTTTAGAAACAGGCAAAGCTAACTCTGCTGTTGAGAGATGAATGCTTAGATGGTAAAACTCTTAAAAACAAGCCAGGAAGTGATTATTATGCAGTCAGGACAGAAGCAGAGCCTTCTGGGATGCTGGCTAGATTGTCATTTGGTAGATGATGGTGATTAGATATATGTTTTTATCTTATTGTTGTTAAGTGCCTTCGGGTTGGTTCTGATCCATAGTGACTCTGTATAGGGTTTCCAAGGAGCAGCTGGTAAGTTTGAACTGCTGACTTTACAGATCAAACTGACCTTGTGGTCCACTGTATTATCTTACTGCACTACATGCGGACTCCGTTTGTATCAGTTTCATTAAATTATATATTTTATGTTTTTACAGTTTTCTTTATATTTTTCAATGAAGTTAGGTAAAAGATTAAAAATACAAATTTTGCCTTTTTGATGACTTACTAGTATAGGAAAATTCTTATATATCTATTTTTAAAGCTGTTTTTTCCTGATGTGTGAAAAATCTTTACATTTGCAAATAGATCTAATTGCCTAAGCCCAGATTTAGAGTAGCTCAACAGACCAAATCCTTTAACAAACAGAAAAAAGAACCTGTAATCAGATGTAAATAGGATTGGTGTCTCTCTGCTTTTCTGTGTCATCAAAGCTAAGATCCAAAAATCTGAATCTTCTGATGATTTTATTGTATTATGAATTTAATTATATCCCCCCAAAATATGTGTTATAAATCCTAACCTCAATCTCATTTGGAAAAGGTTGTTTTATGTTAATGATTCAAGCTTAGTGTAGGGTATATCCTGAGTCAGTCTGTTTTCAGATATAAAAAAATAGTGAGCAGAAGCAGAAATACAGGGTAAAATAGAAGGCAAGACACATAAAGATCCCACAGAACCAGGAAGCAGAAGATGAAGAGATTTCTTCCAGAGTTAAAAAAGTGCCTTCCTGTAGAGCTGAAGCTCTCAGTTCAGACTTCTAGCTTCCTAAACTATGACAAAATCTGTTTGTTATAGCCATCCCCTTGTGGTATATCTGTTATAGCAGTGATAGTCCTTTTTTAAAAATCTTATGGTAAACTTAGCTTTGAATCTTTCCAAATTATTTTTTTCATTTAAACAAGGTCAGCAGCGTATTAGAGGGGACATGATTTAACTATGTATAATCAAAACTATAAACTGTTTTAAATACTTATAGAATTAAAAGGCCCACCTAGAAGGTCGGCAAATATTTCAGTCAGCACCATCTCAGAAAGTTTAGAGATTACAGCCTCATTTGTCTTCCCCTTTTTGTTACTCATTTCTGATTGGTGTTGGAGGTGAGGGTTATGAAAAGTATAATTATATTGGAAGAATGGAAGGCAGTGAGAACTAAGAATCATAAAAGAAAGGAAAATAAATGGACAAATGAAAATCTGAGTGAGACCTAGCAAATAAGGATTCTACTATAGGTACAGTGCCAAAAATAAATTGGGGGAATGAGGAAAGAAATTAAAATCTAAATCATACTAATATACTTTAAGAAATTTTGAAAAGTATATAATTTTGGAAAGGGAGCTCTGGTAGCATAGTGGTTACGAATCGGGCTGCAAACTGCGAGGTCAGCAGTTCGAAGCTACTAGCTGTTCTGTGGGAGAAAGATGAGGCTTTCTTCTCCCGTAAAGATGTATAACCTCGGAAACCTTGTACAGGGTTGCTATGGGTCGGAAATGACTCGACAGCACATAACAATAACAACATACATTTTAATAGTATTACTGTGGGAAGTTAGACAAGTAATTTAGGACTACTTAGAACACTGAGAGTTGGAAAGCATAGATAAACAGTATACTATGTATGTAAATGAGCATGTGAAAGTATTTTGAAAGTTTGATGAGTCAGCATTGGTTAGGAATAGGATTGGAAAGACTAGTCATGAAGGAATATGGCCTGTTAGTGAAAATGTTGAAGTAAAGTTAAATGACATATTCCAAAGAACTTAAATAATGGTATGAGAAAAGAGGAGAGCTGCCTCGCTAGTCATGAAAGTTCATTTACAAAATGCTCAAGAAAGGGACCATGCTTTGCTGAAATAGATGGAATGTTCTTTGTAGTAATGCATTATAAGTTAGATGGTTTCACATTTCAATAATGATTCCTTAATATTTTTTAGGGGTTATGCATTCATGAAACTACCTGGACGTCAGCAGTCTACGGTTTCGGAGATCAGTATAATTTGAAAAAACTACGAAATGAGTCAAAACTGAAACCTATCCCATATGTTGGTCCAAAATTAAAAAGAAGGTATATCAATTCAGAATCTATTATAATGTATCTAGTCAGAGTGTTGTATTAAGAAAGTTTACTACTAAGGAAAGCTTGGGAATTATTTTGTAGTAATTAAGTTCAGAATTGTTTTTCAAAAATCAATACAATATAATTAACGTGTTACCCTAAGTTTAACTTGGTGTTGCTATGAGCTGACTCAATAGCACCTAACAACTACAAGCTTATGTAATTAATTGATGTATAGTAATATATTTGGACTCTTGGTGGGGGGGAATTTTTTTGTGATGACATGTCACTATCAACATCAAATTAAATATTAGTTAAATTTTATGCATTTAAACCTATTATTTTAAAATTTAATCATCTTGTATAGCTAAATCAGTCAATCTCATTAATAACATTTATATGTAAAAGCTTCTTTTGCTGATGTGAATTAAGAATTTGACTTTTGAAAGTGGTGTTTTTATCACTGTCTAGGGAAATTGCTGGAGCAAAATGTACTTAAAACTACACTTGTTAAGTGCCCGTGGTAATAAAGCCTACTACACTTGTTCTACTTGTTACTTGAATGTAGGTATAGAGAACAAAGGAAGAATATGAAATCCATTTTAATTAAGAGCAAATCTGACATCTTCATTGTTAATTATTGCCTCAAGAAGAGCTACTAAAGAAGTTTATTAAAAATCTGTCAGTGAGGGAGGAGTAACTCAGAAAGGAAGCATGAGAATGGTTGCACAACTCAAAGAATATAATCAGTGTCACATAATTGTACATGTAGAAACTGTAGAATTGGTGTATATTTTGTTGGTTATAGTCTCAAAAACAGCAAAAAGAAATTCAGGAAAAATATTAACCAGCTAAAGTTCTGGTCACTCTAAAATGCAAAATACTCATGAGTTTGTCTTATATAGATGGCCAATTTCCTACTGTAGAGAACTCAGCAAGTATGCCATTCCTTTCTTGGGAGCTGATGTGTCTGTTGTGAAGCGAACTCAGCGTTATGTTCATGAAACTTTAGAGGACTCACCAGTAAGTTTCCTCAGTAATGCACTTAGTCTTGTTTGGGTGCCTTTTTTTAAAGAAGTCTGATGGCTTTTGAGGGGATCTGCTGATCTAGTTAAATTCAAGGTAGAGAGGTCAGCTGAGATTATGGTGACTTTTTTTGTGGGGGGAGTCGGGGACTCTAAAGGGGTACTCTGGATAGATTTTCTTGAAGGTAACAGGATGGTCATGGGGACTTATTAGGAAGAGGTCTTAAGAATATTAAAAACTGCAAAGGTGAGAAAAAGGCCAGGAAAGTTTTATGATGTGGAAGTAATTGCTCCCACTGATGAGATTTCAAGAAGACACTTTCTTTCTTAGGTTAAAAGGTGGAGGAGGGTATTTCTCATGGGAGAACTTAAAAATGGAGTTTACATTGTTTTACTAAATTTAGGTATTGTTGTTGTTGTTAAGTGCCGTCGAGTCAGTTCCAACCCATAGTGACCCTGAACAGGGTTTCTGAGGCTGTAAATCTTTACGGGAGCAGAAAGCCTCATCTTTCTCCCGCGGAACAGCTGGTAGTTTCGAACTGCTGACCCTTGAGGTTCGCATCCCAATTCGTAACCACTATGCTACCAGAGCTCCTTTAGGTATATTATCTATTATGTGAACTTTAGTGTTCAAATAGGAAGAATTAATTATCATTCACAACCATTTTCTTTGAAAAATATGTTTCTGACACCTAGTTTCTGAATAAGCTTTTAGAATTATGATGCATTCATAAAATAGCTCTGCTTTTGTACCCTATTTATGACTAAAGAGTCAGTTAAGACTTAAGAAAAGTTGGTGCACTAGGCAGACACACTATATGGACCCTCTAAAACAAAGATATGAGAGACAAAATGAAACAAACACAGATGAAAATTCTGGCACCCTGAACTTCAGAAGAAAGGTTAGAGAGGTGGATGGAGTGCTTGTTGGGAGGAGAGAATAAGCAGGGATAGCAAGAGAGAGAGCGAGACTGGCTGGTGAACAGCTGGCCAAATGTGGCTCCACCTTGTGAGCAGCTTTGGCAGTGGAAGGAGGCCTGGCAGAGCAGATTCACACAGGCAGTGGAAAAGGTACAATTTCTTTTTTTTTTGCACATTCCTGTAGTGACCAGAGTGTAGTCTTCTCCCACCCTCATCCACCCCCAGCACAGACTCTGCTCTCTGGGAGTTAGGACCCACATGTGTGGGAGCCATGCCAGTGGAAGGTGAGGGCTGACTGCTCTGGTGTGCCATTTTGGTGCCTGGATTCAGATGGGCTTGGCGGGAGCCACCAGACAAACATTTAACCAGTCACCCTGCCCCCTAGCTTACCTATGATCCTAACAGTCACTGAAACTAGTTCCATCAAGGGCCCCCACCGACTTCTGGATTGACTGCCCTGAATATAGATAACACAGAAGCCATTAGAACTCCATTTAGGGCCAGGATGCTGTCATAGCCCTTCCAAAACCACCTCATGAGCTCCTTGAATTGTAGGAATTCCTCCCCGTCCCTCCCAAAGATCTTTCACCTCTGGGTCCAACAACTGCACTGTTTTTACAAATACAATACCCTCACAATGCCCCAAGAAAACAGACAATTTTAGATCACATGAAGAAGCAAGAGAGAATGGCTCAAACAAATGACCAAGATGTAGAGCCAGAAGACATTCCTGAAGAAGAAGCAGCAATAGAACTAACTGAAAAAGAATTCAAGAAAATGATAAGATGCCTACAAAGGATTGATAGAAAGATCAAGAAAAGTAAGGAAAACACAGTAAAAACTTCAGAACAATTTAGGAAAACACTACAAGAACAAAGACAAAAAAAAAAAAAAAAAAAAAGCAAATTATGAAGCAACGCGAAACCTCTAATTAAAAATTTGTAAGATTGATACTAAGATCTCAAGAACTCAGTGTGGACAACATATTGAAAGGGCAAAGGAGGTAGATGTGAAACACTGGAAGCCCGAATTAGTGAGCTTGAAGATAAATCAGTATTAATGTGCTAACAGGACAGTTAGAAAAAAGAATGAAAATATCCCAAGAAAGCCTGAGAGTTATGTGGGACACCATGAAAAGAAATACCTTACGATTGATTGGAAATCCTGAACAGGAAGAAACCAGCACAGTTGTTGGAAGAAAAGTTCCCTAATATGAAAGAAGAAAAGAAAGCTGAATGAACTTCAAACACGTTAGATCCCAAATGAAGATCACCAAGACATACCATAATCTAATTTTCCAAAACCAAAGACATGACAAAAATCCCGAGAGCAGCTCAGGCAAAGCGAAAAGTTACCTACAAACCAATAGGTAGAACCAATAAGACTAAACTCTTGATTTCTCAGTAGAAATTATGTAGGCAAGAAGGCAATTGGATGCCATACACAGAACTCTGAATAAAAAAGATTGCCAACCAAGAATCATATACCCAGCAAATTTATCCCTGAACCATGATGGTAAAATTAGGACATTTCCTGATAAACAAAATGAAGCAAAAAATGTTGAAGGGTGTTTTTTTGACTGATACCAACAGTAACAGACAGGAACCTGAGATTACCATTCATGACAACACCACCCCGAACTCAGTCCAGATGTAGAACAATCTACAAGACTGAAACAGTGAATCAGAGATACAAATGTATTATGATGCCAACTACAAAGCAAAAAGAGGGAATAGTAATAATATACAAGTTCTAAAGGAGTGTAGTGGTTACTAATCGGGCTGTGAACCGCTAGGTCAGCAGTTCGAAACTACCAGCTGCTTTGCGGGAGAAAGATGAGGCTTTCTGCTCCTGTAAAGATTTATAGCCTCGGAAACCCTGTTCAGGGCCGCTATGGGTCGGAACTGACTCGACGGCATTTAACAACAACAAGTTTTAAATGGCAAGGAAGTCAAGTAGATGTCAAGATAAAACAGACTGCATTAAGCAGGGAAAAAATTAAATTACAGGGGAACGTCAAAGAAAAATAATACAGCTCTACATCAAAGTAGGATTCCTGGTGTGGTGCTGTGGGTTAATGTGCCAGACTGCAAATCCATTTGAACTTCAAAGTTGGCAGTTCAAGCTCATTAGCTACTCCTCGGAAACCCTATACAGGGTTGCTATGGGTTGGAATTGGCTCGACAGCACTTAACACTAACAGCAATGTCAAAATAAAAAAAGAGAGAAATCTGAAAGATTTAGTAAACATTAACACAGCAGACTTCTGGTGTGGCACTGTGAGTTAATGTGCTGTATTGCAAGGTTGGCGGTTCAAGTTCACCAGCTGTGCCTTAAAAACCCTATACAGAGTCGCTGTGGGTCGGAACCAGCTCAAAGGCACTTAACAACACAACAGAAATGAAAATGACAAGAAAACCCACAAACAAAATCACCTCAGCATAGAAAATTATGGGGACAAGGAATCCAGCAATACTACAAGAAAACACACAGAAAAATGACAACAATAAATTCATAACTATTGATAATTACACTAAATGTAAATGGATTAAACGTACCAGTCAAGAGACAAAGAACAGAATGGGTAAGAAAACTGGATCCTTCAATGTGATATATCAAGAGGTATATAAAAAAGATGGAGATAGCATGCATGCCCATGAGCAGAAAAATGGTTAAATTTTGGTACATACACATAAAGGAGCTCTGGTAGCGTAGTGGTTATGAATCGGGCTGTGAACCTCAGGGTCAGCAGTTCGAAACTACCAGCTGTTCCGCGGGAGAAAGATGAGGCTTTCTGCTCCCGTAAAGATTTACAGCCTTGGAAACCCTGTACAGGGTCGCTATGAGTCGGAACCGACTCCACGGCACATTACAACAACAACACATAATGGAATATGAGAAAACACTGAAGAATAATGATGGATCTGTGAAACACTTCACAACATGGTTGAGCCTGGAGGACAAAATGCTGAATGAAATTGGTAAATCACAAAAGGACTAACATAAGACCAATGTTGTAAAATGTTAAAAAGGTTTTCTCTATAAAAGAAATAATCTATAATGGTTCAGGAGGGCAGGGGAGGGAAAATTATTCCTGGTCTGGAGGGTAGAGACATGTTAACATGGGTGACAGGCAGGCAGTAAACAAGAGGGAAGTAAGCAGAGGAAAGATGAAGGTAGTGGGAGACACAGTGAGGAATGGAATAGTTAAAAGTGAATAGAGATAAATGCCGTTAACTCTTGGTACTTGGAGGGGATTGCAGACATGTAGTAAAGCAAAGTGTAATTGAATGTAAAAATGATCTGTTCTGTAAACTTTCACTCAATTTTTCACAATAAGTTTTTTAAAAAGTCAGTTAAAAGTAGTTAATATTCTTGTGCTTTTCAGTCTAAAATATAGAGGGTAATGTGTGTAATGTCATCTTTCTAATCTAGGTTCAATATGCTGCTTATATAACGGTGGGAGGCATCACCTCTGTTTTTAAGCTGATGTTTGCAGGACTTTTCTTTTTATTCTTTGTGAGGTTTGGCATTGGAAGGCAACTTCTCATAAGAGTAAGTGAAATTCATGAAATTAGATCTTTAGAAGTATTTTTTATAAATTAAAAATAATAATAACTAAGGGTTTTGTTTGCTTTTTTCTTTAGTTCCCATGGCTCTTCTCCTTTGGTTATTTTTCAAAACAAGGTCCAACACAAAAACAGGTAATTTTTTTGGTATCCAAGTTGCTAATATTTGTATTTACTTTGACTCAGTGTAGTAACAATAACAGCTAAGACTTAGTGAAGCATCTACCATGTTTTAGGCACTCGTTTCAGCACGACTTGAATTAGATTATTATTATGATCTCTGTTTTACAGAGAGGGCTCAGAGAAGTTAATTGCCCAAGGTCCTACATCTAGTAAATGGCAAAGATAAGAATCCAGCTATATGGTTTCAAAAACTGTTCTCTACTTCAGAGAGATCTCATACATTATTTCACCATTTTTCTCTTCTGTTACCTCTTTTTTGTCCTCCTCCCAGTATCACTTTCTCTTTCATGTGCACTGGAGCCCCATGGTAGGTAAATTGCCATCTCTCCAATTTTGTCAGTATTTTTCTACCGTGTGATTTATAGATTCCAATCCTAAGTAAGGCCATGGGTCATTGAGCCTTTGTCTCTTGAATACCATCATGCTGAGCAGATGCCACGACTGTATGTTCATGTTTCCCCACCTCTGTGGAACTTGAACATCATTTGCTGATCCTTTTACTTTTCATTAGTCATCTCTCCACCTTCCCCCCCACCCAAGATCTATTCAACCCCAGATAGCTTTCCTATTTTCAAATGATCATAATTCCTACATCACTACAAGAATTGGGAACATCTGTTTAATACCCTGTCAGATTCTTCTCACACCTAATATCATTGCTCCTATTTTGAATACCTTTTTTCTCCTCTCTCAAAGAAATAGTCTCCTGTGTAAGCTAATCTTTCCCCTTTGGTATTTTACAAATCAAGCATTTATTGTGTTGTAAGCATTAGACTGTTCACATGAATTATCAACAGCCATTGAAATGAAGGTATTATTATTATCCAGTTTTCATATTGAGGAAATAAACAGAGATAATGTTATTTGCCATTAAGTTCACATAGCTAGAATGTTAATCTTTGATTCCAACTAAATTATGTTTTAACCATTATTAATACGTTTGATTAGTCTTTCCTGACTGTTGTGATGATAACCTTATTTCTCCTGTAGACTCTACCTTCCCCCTCACAGCAAGTTTTTCTACTCATTCTATATAAAAACGCTTTTGTCTTTAGTAGCATTAAAAAGAATCCTTCAGCCCTCCCTTTGTTAGTCACAGTTGATTTTGTGATTGCTAAATGTTAAATGCTTTTTAACACTTAACTTATTTTAGTCTCTGTTATCTTTGATATTGTTCTTCTTGAAGTACTTGAAATAATGGCATACTTAAGTATTTTCAGGGGAATAGTTCCAGGAACCCCATGAATAACAAAATATGGATGCTCAAGTCCCTTATATAAAATAGCACAGTAATTTCATAAACCTACATATATTCTTCAGTTTACTTTTAAATCATCTCCAGATTACTTATAATTTCTAATACAAGGTAAATGCTATGTGAATAGCGATTTGTTCTCCCTCTTAACCTCTGAGGGATTGCTTTAACCACCTACTTGCTTCTCCCTCCTCCTACCCATCAAATATTTTTCATCCATGGATTTTGATGAGGAACCCTCAGATTCAAAGTGTTGGTTGTACTTCTTCTCTTGGCTTTCGATGTAATTGCACTTTACTATTTCCTTTCTCATTGTTCCTTTACTTTGCTGTTATGTTCTTACCTACTTTTTATTCCTTAAATGTCCTTCATTCCCAGGGCTCCATTCATGGCTTATTCTCACTCATTTGCTCTAAATAATTTCAATAAAGCTCTTAGAGGCACATTTTTAAATTTATTTTTATTTTTTAAGTTTTGTTGTGAATTATGTGATAGTTTACATGGGAAAACATCAGTTTTACATTCATCCTAACGTATATTGTTTCATTGCCATGGTTATAAGCCCCTCCACGCATCACCAAACAATGAAAGGGTACATCCTATAAGCCTTCTTCACCCCACACCCTCCCCTCCCACCCCCTGGCCGGTCATCAGTACACAGTCCCTCTTCCTCCCTGGGTCCTGAGTCCTCTGCCTCCATCTTTGGGATCACTGCCTCTCTGGGTAGGGTTCCACTCTCCACTCTTCTCCCTTCATGGTTCCAGGGACCTCCACTCCCAGCCTACAAAGTCAGTCATTCCCCTCCTTGCCACAAAATGCATGCCCACTTTTACATTTACAACCTTCACAACCAGTCCTGGTAACAATTATTCACCCTTGCATCACAAGAGACCTATCTGCATTTCCTTTAATCAGTCCTGCCTAGACAGATTGGATACTACTCAGTGGAGATTCTACCTTCCTCCACGCCCTCTGGATCTAGGTTCCCTCTTTAAAGCTTGTAAGCCAGTCACTTCTTGCCTTTGTAGTCCCCCCCATTTTGGATAGCCAATGTCCAAGTTGCCCATCCCTGTCTACTCTGTG